TAGGAGTCTAGCGTCAATGAGGAGGAACAACCCAGAACTCCCTGCCTTCAAGCTGATCTGACCTGCAGCAGGGAATTCCACAGTTCTCTAATGCTCTCTTGGGCCAGCTTCCATGGAGTGTGGCCACAGTAGCAGGTTCAACCGAAGACTCTCCTTCAGCTTTACTTTCTTCTCCTACCTAACATTGTAACAAATCCCCCCAATAAAGTATCAATTAATTGTAACTTTTTCCTCTCCATAGTGTTACTTTGTGTCCTTTACTGCCTCCAAACTAGTCTCTTCATGAACTTTCCCTCTCCTGGCTGCAGTTGGCTGCCTGCCAGCCTGGGATGCGATTTTTGTGTCCCGGGGAGGCCGAAACTGCGTTCCTCTGAACCGCGAATATGGAAACCCATTGTGTCCCCGTATCCGCGGGTCAATGGATCGCTCCAAAATCGGTGCCATTCTTCTCCTAGGCTAATTGCTATCTTGCTTTTGCTCCACTAACCCCTCTGCCCCAGTAATAACCCTTTTTGCCCCCCAAAACATAACATGGAGACCAGCTGGTTCCCCACTGCCACCACATCACAGCCACCATCTCGTTGATGCCTGAAGAGCCTATTGACCTGGGGAACCTGTTGTGGTCACCCCTTGGGACCCCCAGGAAACCGATGGGTCATCCTGGTCCACACAATTGGACACACATTAAGAAACATTAATCCACTCATTTTCCTCCCGGTTCATTGTTTCCCGCTTGTACTGCCTCCTCAATCCCCATTGGCTGAGAAGCCAAAGCGGCACTGGCTTTCCCATTGGCTGAGGTGCACCTGAGCCGACCGCGCCTCCCCTCCAGCTGATAACTCCAACCAATCAGCATAAAGCTGGGGAGGGGGCGGGAGGCAGGAAGTTTGAATTTGTCAGTTCTGTATCTCTATAAAAATGTACTGTTTTGCCCTGCCAAGCGTGTCGACTTTGGCAAGGGATTGCGGTTTGACATCCGTACCAGCTGGGATGAAATTTGTGGGATTAACATAACTCAAAAACCACTGGATGAATTGACACCAAATTTGGATACTATTAGGCCGAGAGACCATCACTCATAAAAACACTGGAAAACACAGCAGAAGAGACTTAAAAAGCCAAAAAAAAAAAATTATAACGCATGTGCAAAACCATATATATATATGTGTGTGTGTGTGCAAACACACATATATACACATATACACAAATATACACACACATATGGGGGCCCCAGTGGTGCAGTGGGTTAAAGCACTGAGCTGCTGAGCTTGTTGACCAAAAGGTGGCAGGTTCAATTCCAGGGAGCGGCGTGAGCTTCCGCTGTCAGCCCTAGCTTCTGCCAACCTAGCAGTTCGAAAACATGCAAATGTGAGTAGATCAATAGGTACCACTCCGGCGGGAAGGTAACGGTGCTCCATGCGGTCGTGCTGGCCACATGACCTTGGAGATATCTATGGACAACGCTGGCTCTTCGGCTTAGAAATGGAGATGAGCACCACACCCCAGAGTCAGACATGACTGGACTTAATGTCAGGGGACAACCTTTACCTTACTCACACATATACACACACAAAGCACATATCCACACACTGGGCTAAAGCAACATGTGGCAGGGGACGGTTAGTATTTTATATAACATGATACATATGTAAAACAACAAGAACAAAGAAGTAATATAAACAGAACATTTATATAAAACTCAGAGGGCAATCATTGGCCTAGCATGGCCAAGATGGCAAAAGTTATTAAGGAGGAAAACCATACACATGTCAGGAGAAAATCCAAACTACTGTACTACTTTCCCACTTTAAACTGGGTTTGCTGCAACTCAAGTCGACTGAGGCCTAAGGGGGAAAGTGGGAGGATGAAAGGGAAAACGGGACATTTTAAAAACAGCTGCAAAAGTGGGATGGCAGAAGGTGGATTGGGATCATCCATCCCACACCAAGTCGTCAAGGATTTTCGGTCCCTCCCGAAGTTGCTCAAAGGGGCGTCCTGTGGCTTTGGGTGGGGGATCAACTTTCTCCCAGTTCACCGGCGTGAGTCCAGGGTGAGCTGTTCTTGTGACGAAGGAGAAGGCGATAAGTTTCTTGGCAGCCGCCTCCTCTTGCCCAACCCTTCCGGGGAAGAAGGCCGGAAAGAGGGAAGGAAGAAACCTGTGCCTTTTCCTTTGGAGCCAAGCGATTTGGGGAGAGAAGGGGGCCCATTTCCCACCCCAAACTAGACCCTCCCCTCAGCCTCTTGGGAGGGATGGATGGAACAGGCCCTAAACTCATCCCAAGTGTTCGAAGACATTTTATGGGGATCCTAGAGGGCAGCTGGAGGGAGGAGGCACTCTTCACATGCCCATTCTTTCAAAGTCTCCCCAGTTTAATGGACTTAGTTCTGTAGAAGGGGGGCAGTCCTATGAAGCTGCATGCTTAGTTGTCATAGATGCCTGGATCTAAAAGAGATCTTACGGAGTCATCCAGTCCAACCCTATTATTATTATTATTATTATTATTATTATTATTAACTTTATTTATACCCCGCAAAATCTCCCAAAGGACTCGATGCGGCTTACAAGGCCAAGGCTACCAACAACAACAGCATACAAATACAACAATAAAACTCATAAGCAAATAATAAAACATCAAGCAAAATAATAAAACACTAAAAACAATGACACCATGACACATTTAAAACCTAAAGGCTGGGCCAAATGTAATGGACAAATTTTAAAAAGTGCTGGACTTGACAGGTGATATGTAGAGGTTTTTTGGAGGTAGGTGCAATGTGCAGACAATCCTTGGGACATGATGCCAGGAGTTTCCTATTCTGGAAAGGCACACTGGAACAGCCAGGTCTTCAGGCTCTTCCTAAAGATTGCCAATGTTGGGGCTTGTCTGATGTCCTTGGGGAGAGAGTTCCAGAGTCGGGGGGCCACCACAGAGAAGGCCCTGTCCCTCGTCCCCACCAAACGCGCCTGCGACGCAGGTGAGATCGTGTCTACAAAAAGACACAAATCAACCCCCCCCTGACAGATGGCCACTTGGCCTCTGCTTAAAACCTGCTGCTGGACTCCAAGGAACCTGGTATACGAGGATTATATCTTGAATGTATTGCAGGAGATGAATGGGTGGGATCGGAGGTCAACTCTATGCTTAGCGAACCCCCATCGATCCCTCTTTCCTATTATGATTCTCGCATGTGATCTTTGTGTTTTCTCACCAGCTGTTGTGTCATTTCCGAGGACCTTGGAATGGAGTGTCCAAGTACATGAGTTAATGTTTACAGCCTCTGGCTCGGGAAAGAAGAGTCTCCAAAAGTGTTTCGGCAAGAACGGCGAAGGCTGGTAAGTGCTGAGGACATGCACAGAAACAAGCCCTAAGTGTTGCCTTTGCCATTCTATCTGGGAGAGAGAGAGCAAAATAAGACTTTGGACAAGCTGGGTGTTTTGCAGCAGAAAAAGCAGAGCTGGGGGAAAGTTTTTACAAAAGCTAAAAGCGAGTTTTGCCAAGGTCTCCATAGAGTAGCATTTCTCAATCTAGGGGTCAGGTCCCCTGGGGGGGTCGCAAGGGGGTGTCAAAGGGGTCGCCAAAGACCATCAGGAAAACACAATATTTTCTGTTGGGGTGGTGTTTCTGTGTGGGAAGTTTGGCCAAATTCTATCATTGGTGGGATTCAGAATACTCTTTGATTGTTGGTGAACTATAAAGCCCAGCAACTGCAACTCCCAAATGTCAAGGTCTATATTCCCCAAACTCCACCAGTGTTCACATTTGGGCATAATGAGTATTCATGCTAAATTTGGTCCAGGTCCATCATTGTTTGAGGCCACAGTGCTCTCTGGATGTAGGTGAACTGCAACTCCAAAACTCAAAATCAATGCCCACGAAATCCTTCCAGTATTTTCTGTTAGTCATTGGAGTGTTGTGTGCCAAGACTATAAATCCCAACAACTGCAACTCCCAAATATCAAGGCCTATTTTCCCCAAACCCCACCAGTGTTCACTTTGGGCATATAAAGTATTTATGCCAAGTTGGGTCCAGATCCATCCTTGCTTGAGTCTACAGTTCTCTCTGGATGTAGGTGAACTTCAATTCCAAAAATCATGGTCAATGCCCACCAAACTCTTACAGTATTTTCTGATGGTCATGGGAGTTCTGGGTGCCAAGATTGGTTCGATTCCATCATTTGTGGAATTCAGAATGCTCTTTGATTGTTGGTGAACTATACATCCCAGCAACTACACCTCCCAAATGTCAAGGTCTATTTTCCCCAAACTCCACCAGTGTTCACTTTTGGGCATATTGAGTATTTATGCCGAGTTGGTCCAGATCCATCCTTGCTTGAGTCTACAGTTCTCTCTAAAAACAGGTGAACTACAACTCCAAAATTCACAGTCAATGCCCACCAAACTATTCCAGTATTTTCTCTTGGTCAAGGGAGTCTGTGTGCCCAGATTGGTTCAATTCTATTGTTGGTGGAGTTCAGAAGGCTCTTTGATTGTAGGTGAACTATAAATCCAGGCAACTACAACTCCCAAATGACAAAATCAATCCTCTCAACCCCACCAGTATTCAAATTTGGGTGTACTGTATTGGGTATTTGTGCCAAATTTGATCCAATGAATGGAAATACATCCCGCATATCGGATATTTACATTACAGTAGCAAAATTACAGTTATGAATTAGCAACTAAAATAATTTTATGATTGGGGCTCACCACAACATGAAGAACTGTATTAAGGGGTTGCGGCATTAGCAAGGTTGGGAACCACTGGCCTAGAGGACTACAGCTTCCAGGATCTCTTGGATTTTGAGCATTCTGTCTCCACTTCCAATCCCAAAGTTGCCCAAGTTTTGGGCAGAAGCCAAAGTGTGATGCTGGGCGACAAAAGGGCACAGAGTCACCTGGGCGGTTGCATTGAACAGGCTGTAGGTAAACACAAGCCAGGATTGGGCAAATCCGCTTTCCCTCCCCCTAAAAGAGGCGAAGAGGAGGGACCGTCCCAAGGCATTTAAGCCTGCGCTGGGCTGCCGAAATAGTTGGAGGAAGGTTACTTGGGTGCACCTCTTTGTCTCCATACCTGGCTGTTCTTTGCCACAGGTAAGTGCAGAAAAGGAGGACGAGGATGATTGTTGGGGCATCTCCACTATGGCATTAATTCAGTTTGGTGACATGTGAACTGCTATGGGGGTTGTAGTTTGACAAGGCCTTCTGAGCCAGAGTGCTGGTGCCCTGAACTCCCAGGAATCCGTATAGTGGATCCGTGGGAGTTAAAGTGGCACCAAGCTGCATTCATCCAGTGTAGATGCAGGGGTTAATTTGGAAATCTGTCTGGGTTGGTGGATCGGGAGTCTGTCCTTCCCAAATTTTGTGATCCCTCGTTATCCGAGTAGGATTGCCTTCCAAGATCGGTGTACTGGCAGTGGGTACGTAGATGACTGTGAAGCCCTATTCTTGATCTGCATCTTCTCCCACAGTGAGGGCATTGGTTTCCAGGTGGAAGGTGGTCCCGGTCAGGGTTGGTTTGACGTGCCTTCCTCTTGGCACGTTTCTCTCTTTCTCCCTCCATTTGTGCCTCTTCAAATTCTACAGCACTGCTGGTCACAGCTGACCTCCAGCTGGAGCGCTCCCAGTTCTCAGTGTCTATGCCAGAGTTTTTAAGGTTGGCTTTGAGCCTATCTTTAAATCTCTTTTCCTGTCCATCAACATTCTGGGGGGGGGGTGGTGTCCAATATTTATTATATTATATATTATTATATTATTTTATAATATATAATATATTTTAATAATCTATTAATTAATTAATTAATTAATTATATTTATTTTACTATATATTATTTTCCGTTCTTGAGTTCGGAGTAGAGCAACTGCTTTGGGAGACAGTGGTTGGGCATCTGGACAATGTGGCCGGTCCAGCGGAGTTGATGGCGGAGGACCATCGCTTCAATGTGATGAATAACCCAAACCCAAAGGACTTTGCACAACTTGTGCCATTTGTGTCTGCAGCCTTTAATGTTGTTTAACTAAGTGGCCCAACTCTCAGGATCAAGGTTTTCCTTATCCTCTTCCAACTTGGAGCACACACGTAGTCCCTGGCACAGGATTGAGCAACTTGAGAGCTTTTTTTTAAAGAGCGAGGATGCAAGTAACTGGCCCTTGTATTACCGAAGGCTTTCATGGCTGGAATCACTGGGTTGTAGGTTTTTTCGGGCTATATGGCCATGTTCTAGAGGCATTCTCTCCTGACGTTTTGCCTGCATCTATGGCAAGCATCCTCAGAGGTAGTGAGGTCCTTGCAGTATTTTGGAAACACCTTGGAGGCTAGAAAGGTATGGCACTTGGCCCCTTCCCTCTGTGAGCCAGAAAAACGCGTCTTTGGAAACTCAAAGGAATCCTGTTTGAGTTTCAGGATTCTTTTGAGCTCCTTTTTCCAGACCTGCAGCTGCATTTGCGTCATGGGTAGGCTTCAAAGGAACCCGTTCTCCGCCCCAAACACACATGCATTTCTATTATGGGACTAAATAGAGAGAGGCCCCGGGTTCTAAGGGCCATTGGAGCCCTCCATGGTCTCAAGAAAGCTGAACGGGCAAGACCTTTCCATGTTCTTGCTATGCACATTTCAAACCATTTCTGCCTTACGACAATCCTAAGTCAAATTTGTCATGTTTTTTTTTTGTTGCAAGAATTGTTCTTCTGAGGCCAAGAGAGTGAGCTTGGCCAGGTTCCACTCTCTCAGCCTTTTGTGCCAAGCACGAAATTCACTTCAAGTATGTCATATTTTAGCCTGCATTTCATCAGTGGATTTTAACTCTTGTTGTCGGTGTTTTACTAGTGTTTGATATCTTATTTTAATGCTATTGTACTCTGTTTACTTCATTACACTAGAGAAGAAAATCCACTTAAAATCCAGTTTCCGCCTCCTGCAGAATTCCGGGGTTTATAGATTAGTGAGGCTGTTAAAGACTCCTCCTGAAACTACAAATCCCAGAATTCTGCAGGAGGCAGAAACCGGATTTTATTTAAAAAAAATATTTTATTGATTTTTTTCATAAAATAAATGTTAAATAAGGGGAAAAAGTGATATAGAATAGGATGGTGTGGGGAAAGAAGGAGAAATAAACAAAATAAAAAATAACAAAATAAAATAAAAAGGAAGGAAGAGGGAGAGGAAAAAAGGGGGAAACTGGATTTTAAGTGGATTCTTTTCTCTAGTGTGATGAGGCCCTGAAGCTGCAGGGAGTGGCGAGTAATAAATATATTATTATTATTATCATTATCACTATTATATTTATTATACTATATATTATTTATATTATTATATAATATAATAATCTATTATTAACTTAATTATTAAATTATTATTATTATTATATTTATTATAGGTAATGGTGAAAGTTTTCCTCTAACATTAAGTCCAGTCGTGTCCGACTCTGGGGGTTGGTGCTCAACTCCATTTCTAAGCCAAAGAGCCAGCGTTGTCCGTAGACTCCTCCAAGGTCATGTGGCCAGCATGACTGCACGGAGCGCCATAACCTTCCCACCGGAGTGGTACCTATTGATCTACTCACGTTTGCATGTTTTTGAACTGCTAGATTGGCAGAAGCTGGGGCTAAGAATGGGAGCTCATGCTGCTCCCCGAACCTGCAACTTTTCGGTCAACAAACTCAGCAACTCGGCGGTTTAACCCACTGTGCCACCAGGGCTCCAATATTTATTATACTAGATGTTATTTATTTATATTATTATATTATTATATTATTTTATATCAATCAATGAATGATTTATTACGATCTTTGACCAGCACACTATGGAATGGGGCACAGGTGCCCAAGGAAGGGAATTGCAGTTCTCAAGTATTATTTTATAATATATTATATATTATAATACTCTATTATTACTCTATATTACTCTATTACTCTATTATTTATTTAATTATTTTATTATTATTATATTTATTATACTATATATTATTCTATATTATATATTATAATACTCTGTTATTAATTTAATAACAATAATTGATTATATTTTTATATTTATTAATTTTATGTTGATATTATTATATTTCTTCTTCCAACCTAGCAGTTCAAAAACATGCAAATGTGAGTAGATCAATAGGTAAGGTAATGGCGCTCCATGCAGTCGTGCCGACTACATGACCTTGGAGGTGTCTATGGACAACACCGGCTCTTTGGCTTAGAAATGGAGATGAGTACCACCCCCCAGAGTCGGACAAGACTGGACTTAATGTCAGGGGAAACCTTTACCTATTATTATGTTTATTATTATATTAATTATTGTTATTATTATATATGATGGATGCCAAGACACATAATACAGCCCAGTCCTCCTGCCTTCAGATATGATGCTGTGCTGAGATGGGGACCCAACCATCTTGCCAGTCTTTTCTTTCTTTCAAAATCCTTCCAAAATCTTTGTTCCACCCCTGCTGCTGTTTCTCCTTATCGGTGGGATGTCAAACAGGGATTGCCCACCGCTTGCCGCTCCCCTCCCAGTAAGTAAATGGTGGCAAATGGTCACAGCGGGTGGAGTGGGGCCACAGCCCTGTTCCAGTCTGACTCCGAAGACCGTATCTTAGCTTTCGGGCAACACCCCTGGGCCACTTTTATCTACTAGTTGGGAATGTGGACAATCAAACAGATAGGACAATCATAACCCAATCAAGGTGGAGTCAATAAAGGAGAAAGTGATAGGCTATAAAAATCAAAGCAGCCACACCAATTCACAGGAATATGAATTAGAAAGGAAAGGCAATTAAGGCAATAAGTGGGGTAAAAGGATGCGTGTTTATGCAGCCAACCAGATTTACATCATGGGGTTGTTCCTATCCCAATGCTGTGGATAGAAAGCCAACTGTCCATCGGCCGGAGGGGCCCACAATAAAGAAGGACTTTGGCCCCAGAGAGGCGCAAACTGCCCCCTGACCTGGTTCTGTGTTTAAACTGGTTTAATGGTTACCTTCCCAGTGTCCGGACGTGCGGCCTCTTCCAGTACAAGTGCCCCCATCTCCAGCCAAGTGAACTGGCCAAAGGTCTTCTTGGGCTCCTGATGATCATTTGCTGGGAATGGAAGTCTTCTTGTATTGTCGAAGGCTTTCATGGCCGGAATCACTGGGTTGTTGTAGGTTTTTTCGGGCTGTATGGCCATGGTCTAGAGGCATTCTCTCCTGACGTTTCGCCTGCATCTATGGCAAGCATCCTCAGGATGCTTGCCATAGATGCAGGCGAAACGTCAGGAGAGAATGCCTCTAGACCATGGCCATACAGCCCGAAAAAACCTACAAAAACCCGGAAGTCTTCTTGTGTGTGCAATTTCATAGGGGTCTCTCTGTTTACTTCCCCAAATTCTGTATTGACTCCAGTCTCATGCACCATCAAATCTAATGTGCACCTCAATTTTCAAAACCGTAAAACCAAAAAAAAGAGGGAATTGCCATCGAACGTAATGTGTAGCAGCAAAATGTGTAATTTGGCCCAAAAGGTGCACCTTGGAATTGCTGCCTATTATTATTATTATTATTATTATTATTATTATTATTATGCGGGGACATGAGAGAAGCCACCCACAAGGATGATAAAACATCAAAACATCTGGGCGTCCCCTGGGCAATGTCCTTGCAGATGGCCAATTCTCTCACACCAGAAGCATCTTGCAGTTTCTCAAGTCGCTCCTGATACGACAAAATATATATATATTATTATTATTTGAAACACAACAAGATGAGTCCACAGCAGACAAGATCACTCTGCTGGCTGTTGTATTGGATCACACGTCAGACACTTCCCAATGTCTAGAACTGTGTGATGTATCGGCAAATAATGTGTGCAGATCCCAGTAAGGTGGCCTTCCTAATGCCGCAGAGGATTTTAAGCAGAGGCTGGATGGCCATCTGCCAGGAGGGGTCGACTTGAGTCTTTTTGTAGAATAGGATTGGACTGGATGACCCCTTAAGACAGTGGTTCTCAAACTTCCTAATGCTGCAACCCTTAAGTACAGTACTTCATGTTGCTACTTCATAACTGTAATTTTGCTATGGTTATGAATCGTAATGTAAATATCTGATATGCAGGATGTACGTA